GTCACGCGCTACGCAGTCCTGCACCACCTGGAGCGCTGCCCTGCGCCGCCCTGGGACGTCCTACGCCGCGCTGCGCCGCCATAGCGCTGCCCAGCACCAGCCTGAGCGCCTCCCGGAGCGCCGCCATGCGCCGGCCTGAGCATTGCCCGGCGACGCCCGGAGCACCACCCTGGGCGCCACCCTGGGCGCCAACCTGACCGCCACCCTGGGCGCCACCCTGGGCGCCACCCTGGGCGCCACCCTGGGCGCCACCCTGGGCGCCACCCTGGGCGCCACCCTGGGCGCCACCCTGGGCGCCACCCTAAGCGCCACCCTGAGCGCCACCCTGGGCGCCACCCTGCGCCGCCCTGCACCGCCCGGTTTAGAATTAAACAATTAGAATTAAGTGCTAAGTTGGGTAGCATAAGCTTTTGGGGGGTCTTCCTTTTTTCAGTGTCCCATTTTCTTTAAGGTGTGGACACCTTTAGCTATAGGGCCAGGGGGGAACCAGAGTAGGTTTTTAGATTTGTAAACAATAGGAAATAAAAGGGGAAAGCCACATGGCAGAAAAATTTACCCCAGCCGATCAACAAGTACAGTTTTCAAAATTTAGTTCATCAAAATTAGAATCACAAAATTATCTCTGACGCTTATGAAATTAAGAGGACGCTATTTCGCTCTCGTGAGGATTTTCCGTTGTTTTTAGGCGAACAGATCGGGGACGATCTGCTTCAAAAGGGGGGGCATGTTAGACATGCGTAGACTTTTAAATTCTCGCGCTCACGAGGAGGAACTAGCGTCAGAACCAGCGCCTGCTGGAAAGCCCTCGCGCTGCATTCGCGACAGCGCGGGGTGCTACCCGATCCAGCCCGGGACGGCTCGATCGCCCGCACGACACGTCAGACGCGCATAGGCTTCCGGCTTGGACACATCTCCAGCAAATAGTGAGTACTTGGTGGTCGGCCCTAAGAACTGTAATTCTTTGTACTTCCTTTCTTACACCCTTCAACCATCGTAACTACACCCTGCATAGCGCGCCCCGGGTGTACACGCTACACCTACACTGTCCCCGGTGCGATACTATACTGGCTTGTACCAAGAAGCCGGAAAAAGTGCCTGAATAACAGTTTATGGTGTTTTCCCCCACCCTCTTAAGATACTAAAATGACAACAAATGCCACAAAAATAAAATCAAAAACGACCTTTGCGTTTTTAAGAAGCGGCTGCTGCTCGGTTCGGTGGTGGTCGAGCGTGACTGATGTGGATGACCCACTTTCCGACCGCTGGTCGGGGGCAGATCACTGCCTCTACTTTTCCCGGCTCGGCAGTCCAATTCGAGAGACCCCACTCGGCCCCACGCAACGAGTCCCAAAGGTGTACCTTGGCGCGGCCAGGAGGAGCGGGAAAGAGTGGGAGAGATAGAGAGAGAGCGCGAGAGAGACGGGAAAGGAGGGGTAGCGAATAGGAGGTGTGTGTGTGGGAAAGAGAGAGCACAAAACACCAAGACGCACTCAGGGTGTTGATCTTGCACCGACGGCCCCCGGTGCGGTGCGGGTCCCCTCGGGTGCGATGTGATGGTCGGGTCCGGGGCTGCACCAGGAGCGCGCCGCAGACGATAAACATGCGGGTCTACACTGCAGCGCTGCAGACAGGCAGGGGCGTTACACACTTTGGTCAGAAAGCATCAACACTAGAGAAAATAAAGCTAGACTGCCCCTTTCAAAGGTGTCATAGGGTAAGAACCAAAGGAGGCATTTAATCTGTCAAAGTTAATAATTTTTACAAATTAAGGCATTAACCTAACTCAGTTTTACCCCTGCAAAATTGCGACCTTGTCACCGCTGTTTAAGAAAGGCATGAGGTCAGTGAGAGGTGACGCAAGCGTCACGAATTTTATTGGAAACCTTCAGCAGCACACCGGTAAACGGTGACTTAAAAGATGCATAGTGAAATCCAGTTGTTTCAGCATTTGAACGACGCTCTGAAAAAGAGCCATAGGAAAATAAATTTTTGTGAGGAGTGTACAGTGGGATGTGGCGCTGCAAGTCACGCACTCCAGTTTATTACAAGGCACGACGCCCGACAAGGAGCAGCCTCTCAAGCCCGCTGCGCGACGCGACGATCTTCAGCAAATGAAAAACGCATTCATGTAATGGGAAGAGGGGGGCAGAGGGGGTGGGGCAGTAGGCGTAGGCGGGAAAGCGCAAGAGTAAAAGGAGGCGGGAGAGGGGGC